GGATCAGCTGTGATTCGCTGCAATAACTTTGCATTACTGCTAATGGATGCTGCCTCTGGCTGCAGCAGCTGCTTCCCTTGGAGAATTCTTCCAAAGGCTCAATCACATCCCATCCCACTTGCTGAAGCATCCTTGCATTTCGATCTAAGGAAGATGTATTTCATCTAGAATGTACACCAAGTGCCGAGACCTAACAGGAAGGATTTCTGGGAATTTTAACTTTCACAACCCAGAAGAACCTCGCTGGACTCAAGTCAGGGGTGGATAGGACACCAGCAAATATCAAATATCTCCCAAGCCTGTTTTTGGCCCATCAAACCTTCTGACAATTGTTGCTGAAAATGGCCGTCATGATGTCCTATCATTTAAAGGTAGAAAAAAAAAATACAGAAAGATCAGTGTAAGTACTGCACACTATAAACACAGAGGACTATCCTGCAAAGGTCTTTCCCAAACCTGGAAAATGGAAAATCCTAGTTCTGTCCATATGCATGTGAAGACCCAACACCCCACCTCTTTGCAACATTGCCTCTCTCATTATAGCTACCTCCCCATATTAAAATTCCCCCACACCTGTTCTTTTACTTGTAGCTCCAGTCCTTAATGGCTGCCAAGCTGAGAAAGATTGGACTGTACAAAAAGATGGCCAGCCAAACAGTTTCTGCAAAAAGGCTAGGAAATCTACAATGAACGCAGAGCCTCAGATGACCCATTTGGTCTGCATTTATTGCAATCTCATTGCCCCACATGAAATTCAAGGTGATGGGTATGCATTCTAGGGAGGTTGATACAGAAGGTAAAGCAGATTTGTTTTTTATGATGAGTGTCTAAAGGAAATGTAAGTGTGGATAGTGATTGCATCTACTCAATAATACATTTTTTTTTCAATGTACACATAATGCTACAGCTACAGGTCCCGCGATTATCAGGAAGATGTATTCATACACAAGTTGCAGGCTGGGTACAAAACAAGTCCGTAGAAGTGCAAGAGAACATCACAGGAGAAAATGAGAAGATTCAGGTCTGGCTCTGGACCCATCCATGTCCATTTTTCCTACGAGTGGACCAGACAGTATGGCTTTTTGATATTTAAGACAGCAGGAAGAAAGCAGCTGGGACCTCAAGCTCATTGAACAGATGCCAGAGAATACTGAACATGCATCAGCTGGACAGTATGTAACGGAGTCTTAGCTAGGTATTATTATGGTTATGATGGTCTTTGACCATAATAAAAATGTGATTGGTGTCATTACAGTAAGAGGCGCAGTGTTTTGGTTTGCTTGTTTTCATTTTTATGGCATTTCTCTGAGGATGGCTTTTTTCCCCACCTGATTTTTTTTTTTGTCAACGATAGATAGCAAAGAGAACATCAGCAGGAAGTCTTCTCCAAACTGCCTACAAAACAGGATGTAAGTATTTTGAGAGGTCTTTGGATCCTGGTGAGGAAGAACACTCCTGAACAGCGTCAAGATGTCCACTCTCTCTTCTCAGAATTGCCTCCTTGGCAACAGCCCAAAGCATAAGTCAAAACTCCACATTCCCAATTGTGAATCACATGTCTTCAGGCCATCCATAATGGCCACTAGTGTCTTTTCTTGGCCTCACTGGCAATCACGGTCTCTTGCCATCTCCATCCAGGGACAGTGTGTGTGAGTGTGTGTGTGTGTGTGTCTTGATACCTGCAATATGTCTTTGCCCTACACGTCAATGTTGATTTCCCTCCATGCCTCCTAAAATTGACCATGGCGTGGAATACTTGAGAACAAAACAGCCTAAGCAATGTCAGAATTACAGTCTTTCTCCTCCTGAAAAATCTTCTTTTCCTCTAGCTGATGATGCATTTTCAGTCTGTACTACAAAGAAACGTTTAGTGGCTGCAATTCTGAAAGGATGGGAATGACCGTTCCCCAATCTGTACTTTGGACTAACTTCAGTTAAATAGACATCTATCAATAATTCAACTATTGCCATGCATTCATATGGCTATAGTGCCCAGCATCCCAACAGTTCTATATTTTCTACATTGATGAGTTAAATCCTTGCCCCTCTTCATGGGGTAGTGGAAGGACATATTTGGTTCTGGAAAGCAACATTCAGATGGAAGCCAATTCAACCAAAGACAGCAGCATAAACCCTCATTTTGTAGAAATGTTGCCCAGTAGAATACTACAATACTGTCCAATGGGTTAAATTAACATTAGCAGCACTTTCTCTTACTACGTTAGGCTCCATTACAGAAATTAAAATATCCATGGGGAAAACTGGAAGCATTCTGCTTTGTTTTAGACCATCAATGAGAATGAAATGGGTTGTTTATTCAGAGTGAGTGTGTTTGTGTGTGTGTGTGTGTTTACATGCATACTTCAGAACAACATGTGTATTTGTTTGCATGTGCATATATATAATATATATAATGCAAATACAGGCCAGACTTTTTCAAACTGAATAGAAAATCTAAATGACCTGAGAAAAGCATTGGACTAAATGGCCATTGATTCCTCCAATTCCATAAAAAAAAAGAAAGGGATTTGTTTATTCTGAGGCGACAGGAGAAGAGACTGAGCATATGGGCAGGGTGGCTTTAGGATCCCTCAATAAGGCTCTGCCTTCGACCAAACGTGGGGCTGAGGGCTGACGTGTTTCCAAAAGAATTATCTGAACCTTTGATGGGGGAGTGCAATGCTTCTCAGCTTTGGCCACTTGAAGATCGTGTGGACTTCCATTCCCAGAACTGAGTTTGGGGAGTTGAAGACCACACATCTTGAAGTGCCAAAGCTGAGAAGCACTGGACTAGTGGTTCAATTGCATGTCTAGCATCTGGAACATCCAGGTTCAAATTTCTTCTCCATGGAAATGCCTGGGGAGACCTGAGGTCAGAGAGTCTACCTAAGCCCAACCTAAAAAAAGAATTGTGGGGTTTTTTTGTGGGGAAAAATTGGAAGGAGTGTTATGTATTCTATCTTGCTCTTGAAGAAAGGAGAAGATGATGGATGATGGATGGAGATAGATAGATAGATAGATAGATAGATAGATAGATAGATAGATAGATAGATAGATAGATAGATAGATAGATAGATAGATAGATAGATAGATAGATAGATAGATAGATAGTGAGAGAGATAGATGGATAAGATAGAGAGAGAGAGAGAAATTAGAGAGATGAGCAATGATGGATAAGATGGATATAGATAGATAGATAGATAGATAGATAGATAGATAGATAGATAGATAGATAGATAGATAGATAGATAGATAGATAGATAGATAGATAGATAGATAGATAGATAGATAGATAGATAGATAGCTATAACAATTTCCTGGGAAACTGTAGAAATACAGATATCAAGCTATCTGTATTGATGTCTATCTTGATGTTTATACATTCCTTTTAATGTATGAATTTCTCCTATCTAGTAGGCTGTGATGGCTATTGATTAGAACTTTGCACATATTTGTCAGATAAGGGGGGGTATCATGTATTTTGCCTGGCTGCGTGGGCTCCACCATCACTACACAACAGTCCTAGAATCAAGGATTTAACCTTCCTTCAATAGAAGGTCTCTTCTTCTCCCCCTTTTCCCACAAAATATGAGGTATTGGCAGAGAAATATTGGTAGACGTTTTGATTTTCTTCTAAACAGGTCTCTTCACCGTTGACTGGTATTGTGTTTCATCCTCAAGCTGCTCACATCAGGACTTGGTCCCGCGTGTCTGGCAGCCGCAAGGCTAGGAGGCCTCCACCAACCAGAGCAGAAGAAGCCAGAAGAATGGGGATCACTTTGGTGATCCCAACAAAAGAGGCAAAGATGGAGTTTCCCAAGATGGCCCCAACTTTACAGACGCCGGTGAGTATCCCAAAGGCTGTAGCTCTAGATAAGAAGGACAGAAAAATCATAGAAAGGTTTCAGAATGCAAAAGCCAGAGATTCAAGACTCAATTCCTTTAACATATGAACATTTCAATTCCTTTAAATATTTATAATAATTATTTCACCTTCACCTGCATATAACTGGGCACGTCAAGGAAGCCAGAACTAACTACCCAGATTTCAATAGGCATCTTGTGTCAAACACGGAATCCTGAAACCTGCAAAAGGGATTTCCTAACCTCGTTTATGGGGAATTCATTATAGTAGAGCAATCTCTTTGAAACTCTTTGAAACATTTGGTGCAGAGGCAGGAACAGCAGAAGAGAAATAAAAATTCCTTTCTGGACAATAAAGTAGATGTGAGAAAGGGGAAGTTGGCTAGATTACTCAGAGGAGCTTTCAAGCAATACATTTTTTGCATGATNAGGAGTGTTATGTATTCTATCTTGCTCTTGAAGAAAGGAGAAGATGATGGATGATGGACGGATGGAGATAGATAGATAGATAGATAGATAGATAGATAGATAGATAGATAGATAGATAGATAGATAGATAGATAGAGAGAGAGAGAGAGAGAGAGAGAGAGAGAGAGAGAGAGAGAGAGAGAGAGAGAGAGAGAGAGATGGATAAGATATATATAGAGAGAAATTAGAGAGATGAGCAATGATGGATAAGATGGATAGAGATAGATAGATAGATAGATAGATAGATAGATAGATAGATAGATAGATAGATAGATAGATAGATAGATATAACAATTTCCTGGGAAACTGTAGAAATACAGATATCAAGCTATCTGTATTGATGTCTATCTTGATGTTTATACATTCCTTTTAATGTATGAATTTCTCCAATCTAGCAGGCTGTGATGGCTATTGATTAGAACTTTGCACATATTTGTCAGATAAGGGGGGGGTTATCATGTATTTTGCCTGGCTGCGTGGGCTCCACCATCACTACACAACAGTCCTAGAATCAAGGATTTAACCTTCCTTCAATAGAAGGTCTCTTCTTCTCCCCCTTTTCCCACAAAATATGAGGTATTGGCAGAGAAATATTGGTAGACGTTTTGATTTTCTTCTAAACAGGTCTCTTCACCGTTGACTGGTATAGTGTTTCATCCTCAAGCTGCTCACATCAGGACTTGGTCCCGCGTGTCTGGCAGCCGCAGGGCTAGGAGGCCTCCACCAACTAGAGCAGAAGAAGCCAGAAGAATGGGGATCACTTTGGTGATCCCAACAAAAGAGGCAAAGATGGAGTTTCCCAAGATGGCCCCAACTTTACAGACGCCGGTGAGTATCCCAAAGGCTGTAGCTCTAGATAAGAAGGACAGAAAAATCATAGAAAGGTTTCAGAATGCAAAAGCCAGAGATCCAAGACTCAATTCCTTTAACATATGAACATTTCAATTCCTTTAAATATTTATAATAATTATTTCACCTTCACCTGCATATAACTGGGCACGTCAAGGAAGCCAGAACTAACTACCCAGATTTCAATAGGCATCTTGTGTCAAACACGGAATCCTGAAACCTGCAAGAGGGATTTCCTAACCTCGTTTATGGGGAATTCATTATAGTAGAGCAATCTCTTTGAAACTCTTTGAAACATTTGGTGCAGAGGCAGGAACAGCAGAAGAGAAATAAAAATTCCTTTCTGGACAATAAAGTAGATGTGAGAAAGGGGAAGTTGGCTAGATTACTCAGAGGAGCTTTCAAGCAATACATTTTTTGCATGATTCGAATAATAATATACAACAGGATACAAGCTACTGGGACCTTGAAACTAGGATTCTCCAGAAAAGAGGTCAGCGAAAATGAATCACCTTTTATGCGTGGGATACAGCTCTACCGTGATGACGTTCAAGGCGTTCCAGGCTGCGATGCTCGTGCCACAAAAGAGACACTGCCATCCAATCATGGCTGACTCGCTATGGCCAAAGAACAAGAAGAAACAACACACTGCCGAGATCAGCATGGACCCCCCTGCAAGAGAAGGCAAGAAGGAGGAGAGAAATATGAGCTTTGTCAAGATGGCATCCAGAAGTAGGCAATTAAAAGCTCATCCTTTTAAAATGTACAGTGTACAAAGGGCAGGGGTTTAATTGCATTAGGGCTTCCTTGATGTCTCTGCAGACACTTCCTGTTGGGTCTGTCCTAACTGAACAGAACCTGGATGCCCTTTCTGGATCAGGCGACTTCAACGCAAAGAAACTGGGATGAAAGTTCATCTAGAAACATAGAAAACTGACAGCACAAAAAGACCTAGTTTTCCGTTGAGATTTTGGTTTTGGTTTTGTTTTATTTTTAATGTATTATTTTTTAAATATTTTTTTATTTTAATTTATTTTTAATTTTTTTGTTGGATGATGGATATGTGTTTATGCCAAGCATGTTTAAACTCAGTTACGGATAATTGTCCCACCACCTTCTCTGGAGGTTGGTTCCAAGCTTCTACTACTCTTTCTGTGAAGTAATACTTTCTGACATTGCTTTCGAACTTCTTTCCTGTCAGTTTGAAGTTATGCCCCCGTCTTCTTCTTAATATCTAAAGGTAAAGGTTTCCCTCTCCAGCACCCTCCAGGGCAGGGCGCTCATCTCTGTTCCTTGGCCAAGGGAACCAGCATTGTCCAAAGACATTTTCTGTGGTCCTACGGCCAGCACGGCTGGGTGTCAAAGATTGCACGGAATGCTCTGACCTTCCCACCAAAGTGGTACCTCTTTTTATCCGCTTTCATGCTTTTGAACTGCTAGGTGGGCGGGAGCTGAGGAGAGGACGGGAGCTCAGCCCATTGCGCAGAGCTCGGATCTCAAACCCGGGCTGACAAGCTCAGTGTCTTTAAGCATTGAACCATTGTGCCCCCTCGCTTAATATCCACCAAGGAGGAAATAGTCTTGGGGAAGATGATCATGCCAAGAAGACAAATATACAGCTCCGCTTTCTTAGGAAGGCGCCATTTTTTCCCCAACAGGGAAGGGATTTTGCATTGTTCGTTGATTGTTTCAGAAAAGTCTTTAGATACACAACTCCCACCCCTTATTTGGAACCTGAACAGTCCCAGGTGTCTCTCTATTGCATGCCACCTCTGGGTGCCTGGCTCTCCAACCAAGACATGGCAGTCATCACACGAAAGGACGACCAAGTCCACCCTTCCCCTTTGTTACCATTCATCCCCCACTCACCGATCATCTTGATCCTTCCCAATTTGTCCATCAGCAGAGCTGAGATGATATTACCAGGCAAGACAGACAGACTTCCCAAGAAGCTGACCAGGTAAATAAGGAAGTCATTGTCCGTCTCAAAATCCAGCTGGCAACCTCTCTTCTGCCCAAAGTCAGAGATGTTCACAAATTCGCAGTCAATGAATTTATGCTTGTAGAGATCTGTGAAAAGGAAACCATGAATGACCATTGCTGGGAAGCTTTCAAAGCAAGTGAGAAATCTGCAGTGGCTCAGATTGCTGGGCAACAGCCTCTCACTGTGAGGGTAAGAATTATTGGGGTGACTTTTAGTGCACCTCTACCCATGAGGGACACAAGCTTTGCCACCTTCTACATTTCTGAGAGAAATTTAATGAATGAGGGAATAGTGCAAGTGATCTTCCATGAGGTCATATGGGGTCTGGCAAACAAGGCCTCCAAAATTCTTCAGAAGTTTGTAATCTTTACACAATTTCACTATCTGGCCCATATTGCAGTGTATTTAAAAAGATCACTGGGCCCAGAGCTTCATAAATCCCCAATCTAGAAGCCTAATTCTATACATTATTCTGAGAAGGGATATCAGAAATCGTCATGGGATGGCTGCAGGGAGGTTTCAATCCAGGCCAAGGTGGCGGTCACGGGTTCACAGTTCCAGCCTCACCCATGCGCATGTGGCTTTAATGCGACTTTGCAAAAAGAACAAGGCTTAGATTGTGTTGTTGAAACTGTCCTCTGCCCTGGTCTGATGGCCCTTTGAATACTGCCAAATCAAACCGTTAGCATGAAAATCACAAATGATGGCATGGTCTTTCCATCCTCTCCAAAAAAAAAAAAAGAAAGAAAAGCGAATGTTTGAAGCTTAGTCCAGCCATGTCTGCAGAGTTTCATCAAAATACTCAGCATGGGAGCTATGATGGTGTGATCCAAATTCAGTTAAATTATGGTTGCAGGTAGAGCTTGGATTCCACAACTGGAGCTCAGTGGTGCAACCCAAGTGCTGCATCATGACTGTTGTGTTGAATATTTCGACTAAACTCTGCAGACACCCCTGAACTAAATTCCAAACATTCCTTTTTCTTTCTTTTGAAGGAATGGAGTGGGATAGGATAGGATAGGATTAGGATTAGGATAGGATAGGATAGGATAGGATAGGATAGGATAGGATAGGATAGGATAGGATAGGATAGGATAGGATAGGATAGGACAGGACAGGACAGGAAGGACCTTGGAGATCTTCTAGTCCAGCCCCTGCTCAAGCAGGAGAACCTGTACATTTCAGATAAGTGACTGTCTAACCTCTTCTTAAAAGCCTCCAGTGATGGAGCACCCACAACTTCTGGAGGCAAGCTGTTCCACTGGTTAATTGTCCTCACTGTTAGGAAGTTTCTGCTGAATTCCAGGTTGCTTCTCTCCTTGGTTAGTTTCCAACCATTGTTTCTTGTCCTGCCTTCAGGCGCTTTGGAAAATAGCTTGACTCCCTCCTCTTCTTTGTGGCAGCCCCTCAAATACTGGAATACTGCTATCATGTCCCCCCTAGTCCTCCTTTTCTTTAGACTAGCCAAACCCAAGACCAAGATGGAAAGGTCATGTCATCATTTGTGATCTTCATGCTAACAGTTTGAGGGCAGCCCGCCATCTTCACTATTTTGGACTATACAGTGCAGGCCTTCCACCCTCGTCTCTGTCAGTGATTATTCTCCTTCTCTTGCCTGCAAGTTCTGCTCTAAAGTTTTGGCTCTCTGTCTTCTGCTTTTATAGAAATGAAGAGCTCCCCTCCCCGATGTGCAGAAGCACCGTGTGCGTGCGTGCGTACCCATGTGCTCCTCTACGATACATTACCTGTGTCAGAGAAGTTGGTGTTTATCAGAGTGCACTTTTTGAAGAAGGTCTCGCTGGATGTCACGTCTTCAAAATGGCAGTCCTCGAAGAGGGAGTTCTCAAAAGTCACATCGCGCATTTTCATTTGGATGAACCTGAGGATGGATAAGAACTAAGACCTTGCCATCATACTTCATCAGAAAAAAAGCCTTTTTTTATCAGCAAAGAATAGGAGGTAAGAAATACAACAGGCTACAGATCAATCAATCAATTAATAAATTGATTGAACAGACTACGGAATGCATCCAAGATGCAAAAAGTTAAACCAGCATCTTAAAACTTAGAATGCAACCCTTTGTTTCTTCAAGTTATAGAAACCTGGTAATCAAAGGCATTGTTGTTAGTGGAAAGGTTGGAGGGTTTGGATGTTAAGGAAAGTCCATCAAGCTTGCTAAGACTTTCTTTAAAGGCTGGGGGTGGGGATGTTGAGGAAATAACTCAAATCATTCCAGAAGAAGCTGCTGTAATGGGAAACCAGGTGATGTTCAAAAGTTCCCAGTTTTGAAATTATTTCAATCTATGATGACTGTGGCAATATTATTATATGCATAAAGATGGAAAGATTCGATACTACCTACTATGGAGGAATGGATGGTGAAGTTGACAGATTTTGGTGAACAGGATAATTTTGTTGATTAGAGTTTATTGTTTATAGTTTATATGTATTAAACACTCTGTGTTTATGGGTGACTGGAAGCCTCTTTTGGACTTGGTGAGTGAAAACTGGGGAAAATATGCTCGTGATTTATGGTTTTAAATGATTGGACACTATATAGAAAGAAGAGACTCATGAAATGCAGTCTAACCATGAATTTCAACAGAAAAGGCTACAGGAACTGCTGTCTCTCATATTGCCACGAGAGGTCAGAATGCCCCAAATAAAAACCAAAAAGTTCTTTTAAGTTGACATCAGCTCGAAGAAACAGGGAAAGAAAGAAAAAATCTGACATCCAAAATAAAGATAAATTTCCTTCAAGCTGAGCTTGACTCCTCGTGCCTCCTGGTGTCAGGCCACAAATGACACAGTGAGATCCTCTTGAGATCAGATCTTTATGGGCTTACACTTAATAAAATCTAGCCAAACTAAAGATATAACTATATAACTATATATATATGGCTGAGGAATTCTGGAAGTTGAAGTCCACAAGTCATAAAAGGGCCAAGTTTGAAGACCCCTGGATTAGATCATTGTCTGGGCTCCAGCTTTTCCTTCCAAGGTCATGTCCACCTTCAAAAGGTATCACTCAATGGAACCAAGTCTCCAATTTGTGGCGACCTTGGGTGGTCGCCTGAAGTGCTAAGCCAGTTCAAACTTAGTTAGCATTTGGGTTAGGAAAGTCTGGGCAAAAGGCCAGACAATGAAGGAAGCAATAACGAGCCACTTCTGTATTGACAAGAAACTGTTCATGTAGCCCCCAGAAATGAGTTGATCTAGAAGGATTTTTTTTTTCACTTAATCAAATAGAAGGAGAAAAGTATTACATCCATGCGGAATAATCATATTAAGTGGAGTTAAATTAATTTAAAGGCCTAATGGCAGCCCTTAACCCCTACATGATCGCTGGCTGCATATCAGCCAAATGTGCAATGTATTTCAATAAAGATTTTTCTGGCCATCAGTTTTTGTTATCAGTTATATTATTATTTAACATACTGCTCTCTCTTCTATTGGAATATACCGTTTATTAAAATAGCACATCGTGTCTGAAGTGAGTAGGATAAAACCATAATATGGTATGAAGACACACACACACCCAGGGTCTTCATCTTCTCCCCCCAGTTTTAAAAGTGAGTATCTCCCTGTTGACCCTTAATTAAGAGATGGGCTTTCTGGAGCCATTTTCTCAATCTAGAGATAATATGAACTTTCTAGGCACAACCCATCAACTCAATCTAGCTCATTTTTCACACTCAAGTCCTCCCTGTGGTTGCAGGGAAGAAGTAATTGAGTAGTAAAAGAGATGGGATGCCTAAGGAAACTCTCTCTTTTTTGTGAGTCCTTTCTAAGTCTTCAGTGTCTATATCAGGAGAGTCAAGAATTAGTTAGCACCTTGGTTAGTAAGATATGGCTGCTGGGGAGAAGTTGGTTTAACCCTGTTCCAGTTGGGATGTGTTTCAGATGAAATCTAACTACTGAGAAGGAATTGATTGGATCAATGAACTTCTTTCAATTGAACCCTCAGTCAATGATTGGAGCTGGAAGAGGATTCACATACAAAGGTGGATCTCCACCTTGTATGACAAGGGTCTTCAAACTTGGCCCTTTTATGACTTGTGGACTTCAACTCCCAGAATTCCTCAGCCAGGCACATGTGCCTGGCTGAGGAATTCTGGGAGTTGAAGTCCACAAGTCATAAAAGGGCCAAGTTTGAAGACCCCTGTTGTATGAGTTCCACCACTTGGAATATCTGAGATAACATGGTGTAGCCCTAGAGCTTTAGGGGGATGATCATTAGGGGGCAGTGGTTAGAATGCAGTACTGCAAGCTATTTCTATTGACTGCCGGCTGCCTGTAGTTCGGCAGTTCAATTCTCACTGACTCAAGGTTGACTCAGCCTTCCATCCTTCCGAGGTTGGTAAAATGAGAACCCGGATTGTGGCCAGAGAGGGTGGCAAGATGCTGACTCTGTAAACCACTTGGAGAGGGCTGTAAAGCACTGTGAAGTGGTATATATAAGTCTAAGTGCTATTGCTACCATTGCAGGTTGGGACACTCACCTGTCATTCTTGAATGTCCAATTCACATAGCGCTGGTTTCTGAGATTAAAGTCAAAGGTGAAATCCTTCACTACTTCTGGCTCGAAAGTCTTCCTCTCCGACTTATATGCTTCCTCTTGGTAATACCGTATCATATCAGGGAACCAGACAATCAGGCCATAATAACTGTGGAGAAGTTGAAAATATCAGTTGCATTCCTTTTCTTGCTGACCCAAAGAGGTCTCCCACAGTTTTAAAACTGGAAGCAGAAGCTGGCTACGTGTCTAAATTCTGTAAGTTCACTCCCAGTCCCCAAATGTACATTAAAAACTTGCTGCCCTGATCTGCGTAGGCATTTTATTTTATTTTGTTATTATGGCTAATGGTTCTAAAGTACAACTACATAAAGAAGCTATTCCCCCCCCCAAAAAAAAAACAGTTCAACCCTCCAAAATATACTGCATATCTGAATCTTTATGGTCTCATCCAGTGGTGGGATTCAGCCAGTTCGCAGCACTTCGGCAGAAACGGTAGCTAATTTTTTGTTGCTCAGGCCCAGAATCAACTTCCAGAAGTGGCATCCAGACAGAGAACTGGTTGTTCACATATTTAAATCCCACCACTCCTTCCTTCCTTCCTTCCTTCCTTCCTTCCTTCCTTCCTTCCTTCCTTCCTTCCTTCCTTCCTTCCTTCCTTCCTTCCTTCCTTCCTGTGGTGGGATTCTGCAGAGCAGAATTTCGAGAGATTTCAGTTTTGAAAAATATGCAGGGAGGCATCAGCTAGCGTTGATTTCATAGCTGATATGTTGGACATTCTCACTGCAGATCAAAGAGGAAGGATAATGTTCTACAAACCTAAAAAACAACAATGCTAAGACACCCACCTTAAGGCCATTGAAAACCAGACAACGGACAGTAATAGTGTGTTCATTCTGTACTGTGCTGTCAGACAATAAACCACATTGTCCATTACCTATAAAATCCAAAAAAAGTAATCACAAAAAATAAGTAACTCTTGGTAAAAGCAGTGGCAATCTCAAATTAATTCAGTGACATTGATGACCTTAATTTATTCTATAATTTGTTATGATTTCTTTCATATTACAAAAGGCATCTTCAATTAAGCTATTCATTCAGCTAGGTGAAAATTCTTACGTTTAATCAACCTCACTCATAGGCTGACAGTTTTGTGTGAACTAATGTTTGTTGGATCACACCATGTGTTAGGATATGATTTGATTTGGTTGATCTTAGTTTAAGGCAATATATGGACCACAGTGACATATTCAACAAATCATGGTTAAACAATTATGACCAAGCAAAATATGCAACCACGTGGTCATAGAATATCTTCAACCACATGGTCATAGATCCCAGAATAGTTTCATCCCAAGGATTATTCATTGGAAGGAAAGCAGAATATATTGTTGAATTAGGACATCACAGCTCACTGGTTTGTTTCTTTCCTATAATATATTAAATTGTGACTGAAGGTGTGATAGCAACCTTAGCCATTGTCTTCATGTACTTGTTTGTTTCTTAAGCCATAAAACGACTTGTTTGTTTGAACATTGCATGTTACCGGTATGTGTTTTACTAATTCAGGTTGTTGAGTTGTATGGATCCAAACTCTTGGATGTGTTTTGCTTAGTTACCCTTATTCCATACCTGTCTGATGATAGTCATGGCTCTAACAAACCAACGTTGGTACCATGTTCCTGTTGAGCTCTGTATTTCAATAAACTCATCAACCTGCTTGGGAGTTTTTATTTGAGCTACCTGAAGAAGAAAAAAATGAGGTAGAATTTACAAAACTCATCATCACTAGCTGCCTCTTCAAACGTGGCCTAGTTTGTGTTAGCAACTTCAGAAAGGCTAAAGAAGGCATACGGCCCATTCTCATGTCTGAACTGCTAATCCCCTGGAAGCCAGAATTGTTTGGGACTACACAAAACAAAATGTTGCCACATTCAATGGGGGTTTCCTTCAAGATAAGCACATACACCTAACCAGTGCTTTTTTTCTAAAAAAAAAAAAAAAAAAAAAAGGTGCCAGAACTCACACACGTCATACAACCCTCCATGCCTACCCCACAAGGTTCCATCCAAAAAAGGTGCCGGAACTCCGTTCTGGGCGTTCTATGAGAAAAAAAGCCCTGCACCTAACATTTTCTCTGGATCTACTCCATCTTTTAGAAAGGATGAATATGTGGCCAAGATCCTTGGTCTGAAGGAAAGAGGCACGTTTACTTACTTATCTTCTATTCTCTTACAGCATCTCCTACCGTCAGGTTTGATTGGGATGTACAAATGATAATTTAAAAAAAAAGGAAGGAACCACTCCAAGAGAGAGTTTGCGGAGCTCATATATGTACACAAAGAACATTGAACAGGAAATGATAATTCCTGATATGGTCACTTATTCAGGTTCTGGCTGCCATCATGTAATTTCCCATGTTGGATTGGATGCTCAAAATAATAACAATATTGGTAATAAAAATGCCAAATCTGGTCTGAACATCTGGCTGATTGTGAGACCAACCATAATAATTTTTAAAATACAGGCATTTTAAAAATGGCAAAAATTGAACGAGATTTTGACATTCTCATTGAATACCTGTTAAGATCTGTTGTCGTACCAGAACAAAACGTATTTATAGGATTTCAGGCAAAAGTACCAACATCTTCTAAGATCTGAGCCATTTTTGTTTTGTTTTTTGTTTTTAATCCATTTTTATTTATGAGGTAACATCCCAATTTTCCCAGAAAGTCTTTTTTTATTCATTACTATTACCATTTACTAGTTAAGTGATCCCTCCTCAGTGTGGATGTGAGATCTTCTCAACAGTTACCAGGTTGGGAAAAGCAACTACACATACATTTGGCTTGAGGTCTACATTGACATCTCTGGGAAAAAAGATGACCATCTAATTTGCCCTTCCATTAACTTGGTTCCTTCTAGAAGTGTTATAACTAGAACACCCATCATCCTCAGCCCAAGGAGTCATTATGAGAATGATAGGAAGCATAGCATAAGACATCTGGAGGTCTGCTTTAGATTACATGGGGATTACACTTTGGCATAAAGCACAAGAAGAGACTTGAAGGAAAAACAATGTCCACAGTGATGCTGATATCTTTTTAAAGAAGAGATCTGATTCAGGGCATTTATCAAAAAATGGATTACCCTTTGGCCCAAGTCTGTCTAGGTCTAGGAGAAAGAAGAAATCATTTAGATCCAGCTCACCGTGAATACCCTTTCTGGTTCTCCCTTGGCCCTCATGTTGACATCATGGACTTGCTTAAGGATCATCCACGCTTCATCATGCTTACCAATCTGGAAAAACCACAGGAGAGAAAGTCAGAAGTTCCATATTGTACACCAGGGGTCTTCAATCTTGGCCCTTTTATGACTTGTGGACTTCAACGCCCAGAATTCCTCAGCCAGGCACGCTGTTGTTGACTCAGCATATGTTATGAGCCTTAGCACAGAGTTATCCCCTTTTTACTCTGCCGTGCATCTGTATCTTTAGCCACAAGAGAAAATCCTGCATAACAATCTCTCTTTCTGACATGGAGAAAAGGAGAATTCAGTGTACAGAACTTTCTATATTTTCGTAGCTGGAGTAGAGTTTGTCATCCTATTATTTTTAGTCTCAGTTAAGCCCATTTCTGGACTTCTGTCTAACTTTCAGTCTCAAACTAGCAAGGAAGCACGTTTCTGCTTTGCACCCCCTTTTTTCAAATCTGTCCCAAAAAAGGGGAGAGGATTCAGAGTGATCCCATGGTTGCCCACTCTGTGCAACATAAAATACGTTTGTCTCCTTTTCCAGATCAGATTGCTTACCTCTAACAAAAAACGTGGGCTTTCTGGCATGAATTTCAAAGCCACAAGTGACGCTATGCAAGGGAGGGAACAGACCACCACAAAAACCCTCCAGCTGTGGAAGTGGTAATGGGTCCCCATACTGAACCCCCATCCTGTAAGGGAGAAAGAGGACAGGAAGAATAGAATACAATGGATCAGGGCCAGTACAGATGTCAGACATTCCAGGTTGAAGGTTTTGGGAGATGATAGATAGATAGATAGATAGATAGATAGATAGATAGATAGATAGATAGATAGATAGATAGATAGATAGATAGATAGA